TAACATGTAATTAAAATTATATAATACAATTATACCAAATAAATCTTATAATATTAATAATAATATTAATATATAATGCATATATAATCATCAAACAAGACTTTTCTGCACACAAAAGAAAATATATGACAAATCGATTGAATTACATATATAAAAAACATCAAGTCTATTGAGTTATGTATGCAAGGCTACAAGCTTAGAAACTAGTTTGTAAAAAAAAATGTAATAATTACATGTTATTATGTTTTCAAAAGTGCAGAAAATATTGAAAATGACAATATTTTATTTTCAATTTGGACTTTTTTTGAAAACATTTTCAAACTAAAATTAAAAGTAAACAAACTTTTATGCTTATTTTCATTTTTTTTGAAAATGAAAATAGTGAACTTTGTGTTCCACTTATTTAGATGTATGCTTGGTTAAATTTATTTTTAAAATAATCACTTTAGAGAAGTTTATAAACTAAGTGATTTCAATTTATTGCTCATTTTTTTAAATGTATGTTTTAAGAGTTTGGAACCACCAAAATTATTAAATATTATCTATTTTTAAGAAAATAATTATTTGAAATGTAATTAGTGTATAGGGGCATTAACTATTTCCATTTTATAAAGTGGACTAACTTCAATAAAGGCCTTGATAAGCAACCCTTCCCCAATTATATTGAGCAATTTCTCCTTCTACTCCTCCATATTGGTCAATATTTTCTCCTAAATCCATGACAGAGCAAAACAATTAGATCTTCTCTATTCTGCTGCAGGGCCTAAGATCTCCCTAGACTGTTCCAAACGTGCATTTTAAAAATATTGACCAATTGAATCATCCAAAAAGCTGAAACTAATAAGTCCAGAGGCTTAAAGAGTAAGTTCAAAATTGGCATGAGTTGACAGAAGTTTCTTCCTCTTTGAACTACCTAACAGAAGAGTGTCGTCAGCAAAAATTAAATGAGACACAAAAATTTTTTCTGAAATATTATTTTTTTTAAAAAAAATTATCAAAAAAATATTTATTACACATTATTTACCCAAATAGACTCATTTACTGTTCACACTCAGAATTTAGTTCTCGGAGAACCGAATTCTGAGCAGGGTTATATATATATATATTTTTTATTTATTTATTTATTTTTGCATTTTCGTTTCTGAGGAAGAAAAAAACTGGATTCAGAACGGACCGTTCTACAATCAAAATAGCCCGTTCCAGATGAACAAATATACACATGACGAATGGATCAGAACGGACTGTTCTGATTGCAGAACGGCCAGTTCCAGATTCAAAATTAACACAAGCTGAATGGAATCAGAACTGACCGTTCTAAATCCGGAACTGCCCGTTCTGGAGACTTCTGATGTCTATAAATACCAGACTCACATTGTTTTTTGATTCAATTTTCACTTATCAAATATCAAAACTCAGACATTATTTTTTTGTTCGATTTTCACTTATCAAATACAAAAAATGTTGTTGTAGAAGCAAAGTGAACACAGGTCTGCATTCATTGGTACAACAGTATGTTGAACTCATCGTTATTTATTTTAAATTTCAATGAAATTGTAACAAATTAATACTAATTTTGTTAATCATTACAGGAAACTGATAATATTATTTACTCTTATTGTCATTAAATGCCAGAACCCCACCCTCTAATTGTTCCTATATTAGAGGAAGTTGATTTTTCTGGGGTTGCAAACCTTAGACATCTGAAGGTGGATCACGCATTAGTCACAACTTTGGTTGAAAGATAGAGACCTGAGACTCACACCTTCCATTTTCTAACAGCGGAGTGCACGATAACATTGGAGGATGTTGTACTTCAACTTGGCCTAAGAGTTGATGGTTTACCAGTCATTGGCTCAACATTATATGACTGGGAGTGATGGAGGTGAGTAGTAGGAGTGAAGCTCAAACTCTTCCTAAACTCCTCCTAGGCTCGGATCTTCTTCAATGGAGATAGTAACACACTTGAAGAACTCGTGGAGATGAAGAACAATCTGCGGAAATGGAAGAAGGAAGCATCCAAGCTCATGAACTCAAAGGATTGCACACTTCAAAGGGAAGGAAAACTAGGTTTTCCTAAGGTTTTTGAAGGCATTCTCTTAGGTTTTCTCTCTTGGAATTTTCGGTGACTCTTGAGGGAATTAGCTGAAGTAATTGTTCAGAAATTCTCATATATTCAAAAGTGTTTTTACAAGGAGGGAAGAGATACAATTATAGGAGGAAAATTAGGTCAAGCTTGGCGGCAACCAAGTAGGCATAGTTGGCGCCAAGTTTGAATTTCAAATTTTGAATTTGAAATTCAAACTTTGGCCACTCACATGCTTAAACCGGATTGCTACCTTCATTTAGGTGTCATTTAGGAGTGATTTGAAGTGGATTTGAGCTCACATGGCCGGAACTACTACATGCCATCCATGTGACTCAAATTCATCTCAAATTACCTCTAAATGATGCATAAATGAAACCTAATTCTCCTATTAATGTATTCTTCATATAATCCTAATCTAATGACCGAAATACATTGGTCTAATGAATACAATGAATAGGAAAAAATATAAGAAGAAGAATGAGCCCAATATTGGGTATCAAAAGCCCAAAGCTCAAGAAGCCCAAAATTAAGCCCAAGACACCTAAACCCTAATCTATGGTCAAAATACAAGACCAACATCAAAGTAAATTCCTATACTAAGAAAATACAATTAGACATGGTGTTCAATCAATTAAAGCCCAAGTGAGAAGCACCCTAGGCCCACCAAGCCCATTGGGCCCACTAAGCTCTGAAGCAGTCAAATCTTCAAGTAACCTCCTGGCCATTGCTCTAGTGGTTGGGCCTTTAGCCCATGCTCTTCCATCAGGGAGGATATGTGTTCCACGTATCTCAGAATCGTGCCAGTTAAAGGTGAGACACTAATTGGCTCTATAATTAAGTTAAAGTGGTTGAGAGAAAATATATTAGAATTACCAGAGAAACCATCTCAAGAACAACTTCATGCACATTGTAGGGCATATATATTAGGTTTAATAGGAGGTGTTTTGATGTCCGACAAAACAGGCAATAAGGTACATCTTATGTATTTATCTTTATTAATAAATCTTAGAAGAACAAAGCGATATAGTTGGGGATCTGCTTCTTTGGCTATGTTATATAAAGAAATGTGTAGAGCCACAGATGTTACCAGCAAAACAATGGGTGGTTGTGCATCTTTGTTACAATCTTGGGCATGGCATCGCATGCCATATATTGCGCCTATTTCCAGGGTACCACCAACATTCCCTTCAGTCTATAAATGGAGTGAAGGTAGAGTATTAAACTTTCAAAATGTACCTCATAATGATGTTATCGGATACAGATCAAGGTTTGATCACATTCAAGCTGATTAGGCAACTCTTCAAAATCAAAGTTTTATTTGTTTCGTATTTTCTTTTGTTTAGCATATTATCTTAACTAAAAAAGTTTATATTTTTTTTTAGTTTTTATGGGCTCCATATCAAGCTTTGGAAACAACAATACCATGCAAGCATATACATATGCTCAACTATGGACATCATGTACCTCCATCATTTGTTTTGCAATTGTTGAATGACATCAATCCAATAGAGTGAAATTGCAATTTCGTCTTTTCCAGTATGTCCCTTCTCCACTCAATAATTTGTATCACCTGCACAAAATTGACATGATGGAAAGACAAGATGAAAATTGGGTTACAAGACATGCTCAATAGATTGACATATGAAATAATAGACGTGAGCATACATTGATGGGTCATCCAATGCAAGGGCCATTGTTTCACGCACGAGAATACATGGAATGGTACATGACCATTTTCATCTACTTTCTATCTGTGCCACAACTACTACAAGATCCAATGACCCATCAACAACAAAGGACTCCCACAACATTTGAAACTGGTGCAACTTCCATGCGATCATATGGAGAGACTTATCAGCATGTATCAAATCCTGCACACATCACCCCACAAGAAAACATAATTGACAGAAGACATTTATTTGTAACAACTTCAGAAATTTTTTTTACAAATTTATTTGAAGTAGATTTGAGAACTCCATCTTCAGCACAATCATACATGCAATCTCTTTACCAAATTCTGAACATGAACAGTAAACAAGTCTACTTGGGTAAATAAATTGGAACAGGTGTTATCTGGATTTTTTTTTTTTAATATAATTTTAGTCAAAAATTCTGAGACGCACTGTCTCAACGAGCAAGCTCCCCCAACAGGCCCCCACAGAATCATTTGTCGGTGGGCAACGTTTCTGTCACTGAGCGAGAATTGTTCATCATCTATGCATCCACATCGAAAGCAATAATTGGGGCTTCCGTCGCTGGACCGGGCATACACAACGTGTCATTGAAAACAGCTGAAGTAAGCAGGTAACATAAAGGAAAACGTTAACTACGACAAGAAAACAGATAAAGCGTTTCCCAATATGAGAACCCTTTGAGGAAGAGTCTCCTTCCATTATTACCACGTTTATCTTTAACCGAGTAAGATACTCATGATATGACGAATTAATAGAAACCTTACTCTTACTCGTATCAGCCGATAGTAGATAGTTATATCTCTTTTCATTCTCGGCATGAAAGGCTTCTTGAGGGTTAATAATGTGACATCCTGAATTACTATGCCACCCACAAAGGCAGCTCGATTAAAGTTAAGTGACTCGTTTAACATTCTTTTTCAGTCTCGATACCAATGACTCTCCAGTCCCAAAACACGCCAAAACAAACGTAGTTCATTTTTCAATAATTTAAGTTTGTACTTGGTTCAGAAAGATTAAAATGGACGAAAATAGCACTTTCTCACTTAAGAAAAATATGGCTAGCAGTAAATACTAAATAAACATTTTATGGTAGTCACTTTCATAGTAAATCGCCCTAAAATTACCCCACAAAAACTAACGAACTGGTGTATCGTTGAATATGTCATTTGGATAGCATTTTAAACTTGAGACATACCATATTTTCTATGACAATGATGATAGGAAAATAAACAAGTCATTTGGAAATTGAGTTGCCACAAATATATTAAGGAAACACCAAAACTCAACAATTATGATAGATAATTGACTAATAATCTCTTCAATAATAAAAATTTTATAGAACAAAACAAGTTTCAATTTAAAGACTCAAAATCTGGCTAGAACAAACTATAAAAAAAAAAACTAATCAAACAAGCCAAATCCCATGTCATCATCACTTTCTTCCTTCACCTCTTCCTGCAAACACAAATTCGAAGTTCAAAAAATAATAAGTAGAAGTTGACAAGACAAGATAAATAGAGGAAACACATCACTAAGAAAAACAGAGGTATCAATCTTTTATGCAGCAGATGCTGCCACCGTAAGACATTAAATCCTAGCCATTCGAACTAGAGTTAGAAAAACAGTAAATTCAACCCTGCCCATTCTTTAGAGCACTGATTGCAAGGTTATAATCCTTTTTATTAAGTGCAGATGTTCATAGTTTCATACAATACATACAGTTACTTAAAAGGTGATTTACTGGTTTTGACATTCATCATTCAGAAGTCTCAAGTATAAATTAAAAAAAAAAAAGCAAAAATGAAATTAACTCTTGTTTTATATTAATGGTTGGTTTTGCTCAAGTAAACAGTTATGGGAAAAACCAAGGACAAAAAGCAACAAGCCACATTCAAGAAAAATAGAGAAAACAAAATACAAAAAATCTAATTGTGTCCAACAATTGACGATTTCTTACCATGATAAAGCCATTTTACAAATTATAAAATGATAGAGATGTTTACGCAGCAAACAATTATCCTAACCTAACTGCATCCATATAGCTTATTTTCATGTTTGAAAACATAATTTTCTAAATATGGAATCATTATTATTATTATTATTATTCTCCTAAACAATGAAGAAGATCGAGGCCTTCACCACTTAAACACCTAACTAAGCATGAGCGCGTCACTTCTTAAGATCATATTCGTACATTTTCCATAATATCCGCAAATCACTAGAATCCTAAAAAAGCTCAACATTAATTGGTTCACAGAAAAAAGTCCAATAAATTTAAACATTCGTGGACACCAAACCAGACGCAGAATATTAATAATAAAATCAGTACCTTCTTTTCCTCAACGGCGGGGGCCTCAGCAGCGGCACCACCACC